AGACAACATTTTACTGGTGTAAGATAGCTCTGACGATGAGCATGTGGCAACAGCTCTGAAGTAAGCTTTTAATTCAGCATTGTGGGGTTTCTTTTTTATTTTCGGCAACTGGACAAACTTAGATAAATCTGGACAGGATTAACGTAAATAACAGCAGATGCTTCAAATCATAGGAGGTTGGAATTAATAAAATCCATCCATATAAACAAAATGAACGAAAACAAAAGCTGGTTTTCCTCCCTCATTTTCAAATCCGTGATGATTTTGTTTTTCTCATCCAGCAAGTGAAAATAAAAGAGCAGAGAAGAGTTTTAACTAACAATGCCCAAATGAGCCCAGCAGTGGAACAGAAACGTGAAACAGAAATTGATGAGCTGAAAACAGTAACTCCATTATTGTATTTAAAGACAGATTTGGAATGCTTCCCGTTAGGTATAAAAATCCAAGCAAGCCTCTAAAATGTCAGTGAAAATATTAACAGGATTTCGTCTCACAATGACTGAAACAAAAGCAGTCATAAAAAGGATGCAAAATCGAACAAGAATTGAGAATAAAAAGACTTACAACACCCTTTAAACCTTTAATCTTACAAGATGTTTAGCAACCAAAAAACATCAAATACTAGGATTCTATGTGACAAACCAAAGTGGAAGAGTGTATTATTTTGATAAACAAAAGCTAAGGAGAAATTCATCAAACAAAACTAAACCAGAACAGACAGGCCAGTAAATGCTGCTATAGGCTTAGGCTACTGGAGGGACCACTTTTCACTTTCACTTTTGCTTCATTCTGTCTCTTTTCTCCAATTCTAGTCTAACACCAAACTTTATGCTCTCTCTGCTTTTTCTCTTTTTTTTTTGTAGCTTCATCTGCTCCATTGTTTGGCTCTGACACCATCCCATAGAGAAATGCTGCCATCTACGCCTCCTATTATAGTTGCAAGAGTTGGGTCTGTTATTAGTTCTTAGTCCTGTTAGCCATGGGCAAACATCTTAGTGGAACTAACTCTACGTGCTCTCTTTCATCCCTTGTCACATGATAACCGACTTATGGCTCATCTGTTTAACCGTTCCTCTCGTAGACAGAGCCACATATGGAGCTTATTTATCATTAACTTTCTGACATAGAAAGTATTCGTGGATCATGCATTTATGTTAATTTTTTAAATGTCTGCTTTTGTCTCCTTGATCGCCAAGTCGGCCTCAGCAGAAGGCTGCTCACACTGACCCTGGTTCTGCTTAAAGTTTCTTCGTGTTGAAGGGGAGTTATTCCTATCCACTGTTGCTAGATGCATGTTTGATGTGAGGGATTGCTGTGAAGTCAAAAATCAAAATGCAGGCAAAGAAATATTGTTGCCACATGCTTGTGCAAAGATGCAATCAGCGGGATTTCCTTAGATAGAAAACTTTAAACCAATGTGTCTGTATAATGATCTCATTTAACTGTCCCTATGAACAGCAAACCTGTCTGAAAAGTGCCAACTATATGAATTAGAATCGTGTTTAACTTCTCCATTCCACAAATCTAGCTTTAGAGAAAAGTGGCAAGTCAAATGCTGTTGTTAAAAGAAAGCCATAAGAGGTCACAACTGTAGTATTCAAAAAGCTGTATAGGCAAACAGCAAACATGAAATTACAGATGACAGCTATGAAAACGTTGTTTTACAGGAGATTGTTCCTAGACATTTCTATGCACACATCATAATCACATTTAAAAATGGTTGCAGTTTTATAATGCCTCAAGGCACTAGGAATTGAGTTGAAAATGCATTTGCATGACACTTTTCCCCTTTCGATAAAATCCTGGACTACATGGTTGGAACTAAGAGGATCCCACCCTTTTGGTGATTATGTAAAATTTGTATGTTTCGCCCTTCCTAAGGTTAGGTCTGGCACCCCAGCTCAGGTATGGAACCTGTGTGCCTGGTCCCTGAATGGATGAAGCAACTTTGTACAGGGTTGCCTGATAATCATGTCTAGAAACATGTTCCTGTTTACCAATAGGATTTATTAGAAGAGGTTTGTTCCTTTTCTTCCATCTCTGCTTTTCCCATACGACATCTTCCATTTCCCATCCTATTGTGATGCAGTTCTTGGGAGGCATTTTGTTTTAAAAGCCACAGAGCAGAACTTGCAGCTCTGTCATGGGACCTGACTTGTGACAAGTCTTTTGAGCTTCTGAAGTCACTTAAAAATATATATTCTTTTATGGTGGTGTTTTTTTTCTGGCTCTGTGTTCAGCAATAAACTGAGAGATAATCGTGTTTTTATGCCGTTTCTCTGAATTTTTCAAAAAGAACATCAAGTTCCCTTCCATTATAAATCCCCAGGTTACATTATATTAAAATCCTTCATTCACATTATCTCACCGCTTTTTATAGTGACGACAGAACAAAGGCTGTGAAACATTTTTTATGAGTATATCTTCCAGGCGTTTGAGCAGCATAAAACAGAGAGATTAAACCCTGTCTAAGACTCCCTTTAATGGTAGATAAGTTAACACCTTTGAGTTTGGTTGAAGCAAAAAATCCTAAATCCTGGACATGTAGAGCAACAGTGACCCTGGATCTAGGCAAGGCAAGCTTATTTATACAGCAAACTTCAGTACAAGGCCAATTTAAAGGGTTTTACATGAATTAGACAAGCAGTGTAAACAAAGAGTAAAAGCAAATAAAGATTAAAAACATGATAAAAGCAGGTAGTAAATAAATAAAACAGTTTGACCACAACATTAAACAAATAAAACCGCAGTTAACAGTTTAACTTCAACATTCAAAGGCAGTTCCTAAAAAAATGGTTTTTAACTTTGACTTAGAAGAACTTAGGCTTTCAGCCCTTTTCCAGTCTTCTGGGAGTTTTTTTTCCAGATCAATGGATCATAGGAACTAAATGCTGCTTCTCCATGTTGGGTTCTAGTTCTGGGTGGACAGAGAAGACTTAAACTGTTTGAAGAACCTTTTGGACAAACCTATGAAGACACTGCTGCAGTGATCGATTCTGCTAAATATAAATGCATGAATTAGATTAGTCCTTTAATCCTGGAAATGTTCTACTGGTGATAAAAGGCTGACTTAAGCCCAAATTATGCTTCTGATGGATCGCCTTGCAACCTTCAAATCTGTCTCTGTGTGTGACCACGCCCCCCGCGCAGAGGTTCTGCAACCTTAATTGCGCACCTCAAAAAAATCCTGACTACATGTCGGACGGTCGCAAACACACGCAGACCTCAAGCTGAAATGCGCAGACAAAAAGCAGTTGTGATTGGTCCTTGGTATGCCTTTCCGGCTGTCTGTGCGGTCGTCCTTCTCGATTCAGTGCCGGGCCCGCCATTTTTAAAAACCGAGGAGTAATAACAACAATCGATAACCATGACAAAAGGTTGATCGAGGAGGTTCGACCACTTGTATGATGCCTCAGACTAGTTATACAAAGATGCCAAGGTCTCTGCCAACTCCTGGAGGGCGATCAGCCAGATCCTTGAGCAGGATCCAAAGGAGTGTTTACAAAGGTGGAAGATACTGACTCCCGCCGGCGCCGCCAAAGAAGTTCTCGTGACCATCCGTCAAAGTTCTTGTAAGTTCTCGAATAGGCTCCCCCATGCGATTTGGCAGGAAACTGCTGTGCGTCCCTAGAAATTCCAGACCGACATTGCAGAAGCATATCAGATCAGACGCAACCAACATTTGATGTGTGCGGTTGCAGAAGTATAATCCGCCCTTTAGTAACTGCCTTTATGTGCCTCTGAAGGTTTCTTTCTGAGTCCATCATGACACCAACATTTTGGCCATAATCAGTTCTCCTCATTTGGTCCGAAGATTATTACCTCAGTTTTAGAAAATCGTGGCACATCCACATATTGATCTGTTATAAGCATCTAGCCAATGCTCTGATGAGTTTATAGTCACCTGACAATATTGTGATTTAAACCTATATGTCATCTGCATAGTTATTGTGAAATATCTTCTTTGCTATTATCTGAAGTAAGGGGAGCATGTAGATATAAGAAGGACCACAGAATGGAGAACCCCACATGTAATTTTTCTGGTCTCTGATTTAAAGTGGGGAACTTTAAATCGGACATAGACTATAAATCAGACATAGACGTCCAGTTTACCAGAAAGGCCCACCCAGTTTTCTAGATGCTCTAAAAAACTCAAGTGATCACCAGGGTTAAACGCTGCACTGAGGTCCAAATATATCAGCACTGTGGCTCTTCCACAGTCTGAGTTTATACGGATGTCATCACAGCAGTCTCTGTATTGTGGATGACATGGAAACCTGACTGAAGGCATCAAAGCAGCTTTTCAATGTTTAGAGGCCATTTAACTGTAGAAACAATAATAGCACTGATGAAGTGGAGGTTTGAGATTGATCTGAAGCTCTGTAGGACTAATTTGTCCAAGTTTCTCTTTTTCAACAATGGTTTAATAATTGCTGTTTTCAAGGCCTTGGGGGAAATATCAAAGGCTATAAGGGATGTGTTAAAGATTTTAATCAAAAACAGGAAAAACCTGTTTAATAAAAGCTTAACTGCTGAACAGTTTATTTTGTAGAATTATGACATTTTAACAGCGTTTATTCTAACTAGAGACAGCATTGGTGCTGGAGTTGGTAGTGATGGCGTTGATGTGTATCTTCTCATAATCCCTGATGGAATGGACAGTTGCAAAGAAAAGTAAATGATATATTTACTTTTTAAACTTGTGCAATGCACATTTAAGATAGGTTAAAACAAATTTTGAAAGGGTTGCAGCTTTACCTGCAGCAAATGGTGTTTGCATGAGGTATTGAGTTAGCAGGCTGGATACAAATGTATTGATAACAACTTTTTAAAGCGGCCATTTTTCTTCCATTTCAGGATTTGTGATGATTCCATACATAAAATACCAAAAAGGCTTTGTCCTTTGTGGTTTTAAAATCCTAATCTTTTCTACAAGGAGACAACCAAATCGAATATTTACCAATATGTCTTCATCACTGAAGGTCCAAGGTGTTACTCACCACTGGGCTCTCCATGATGCCTTTGAGGAAGATGAGATCCAGGTCATTAGCCGTCGTCGAACTGGTGCTGTCGCTTAGGGTGTCCAGAGCCTGATGCATGGCTTTAAAGCACAGGAAAAAAGAGATAAAAAAAAACAGTTAATTTGCCAGCTTTTCTTCCCTCTGACAGCTTGGTGTGAAAAAGGAAGGGAGAAGCTTGCCTCAGAAAGAAGATAGGAAAAGTAAAGAGAAAGAGAGAGAGAGCATTTACAGTAGTGGGACATTTACAGACTGAATGGTAGATACGATGGATGTGGTGAAGACGAAGGACAGGGGAGGCAGGATGGGAGCTGCCTCACTTCCTTTCCCAAGCAATTTTATTCCTGTCAGTCATTCGGCTCACAAGTCTGTCAGACCAGACGGTATCTTTCTCCCAAAACTCCCAGCTTACCTATATTCCCCCACACACACACACTCTACAATTATAATAACAACGCAAAGGTTGCTGATACAACAAACACTTTGACATTTGTCATTTTTCAGGGATCAGGTTGTTGGAAAACTGTAGATTTTAATATTTCCTTCATATGTCAGCCGTTTAACTGTGACTCTATTTTCCTGCTTCATGAGTCAGCCTGGGAGATGAGGGATTTAAAGGCAAGCATGCATTCACATCTACCTCAAAAAGTGAACTTACTTACTCAAAGGGACAACCAATCAATGACCACACACATGATGATGTTAACAACTCATTAAGGGTAGGAGAGAGTTTTAAATAGCGCTCCATACTTTGAAAATGACTCATTAAGGAACCTGCTATCGCCTGGTGGGGAATTAATCAAAGCAGAACTGACAATAAAAAGTGTATTCATAGCAGTTATTCATCTAAAATAATGAATATAACAGACTGAATTCTTTGTTGTATGAGTGAAAAATACAACATTGATTTTCTGTGCTTATCACAGAGACTGGTTGCCCTCAGAAAAGACTGAGCAATGAACTCGTCGCTCTCATCAAGTTTCAGAATGTCATGACTCTACTTTTTGGTTCTGTTTAATTTTTCCTTTTTTAGTTTTCAGTTATACTTTGATTCATGTCTTTCTGCGTTTTCTAGTTTTCTGGTTTCATTTTCATTGTGTGTTATCTAGTTGTCTTTTATTGTTTTTTAGTTCTTAGGTATTGTTTGCACTCTGCTGCCCTCTTTGGTGGGTTTTTCTCTTCCCTAGCTCCCTTCTAGACTCCTCTGTCCACCACTGCTCCCAATCTGCTAATTAGCCTGGTCTTTGTTCAGTCTCCCATTTATACACCTCGTGTTCAGTCACTCTTTCCTGGTTCCTTGTTGTTGTTAGTTGCTTCCTCTTCTCTGGCTCCCCAACTGAATTTTTCCTGATCTTTTCTGGTTTTTTGGTTCTTTGTATTTTGTATTTCTGGATGTCTGCCTCAGTTTTTCATTAAACCAACAATAACTCATCTCTGCTTCACTCATCCCCGCAATTGGGTCCTCAAGCAACCTCACCCCCCTAGTTGACACAGAAGGGTTGTGCAGAACCCTTTTATTGGTGCTGCATGCCTGCAGCAGAGCCAGAAATTTGGCAAATCTTGGAGAATTTTCTCAGAGAAAGGAAATAAATCAGTACTCAGACAAAGTCCAGAGCAACGGTAAAATTCAACCAGATGAAGCACCAACTCACAGGTTTCATACATCTCAGCACTTTAGCATTGGATATATGTTTACTTTGTCAATAACTGCCCCAGAGCAACCACTATTAGTCATTGAGCAATTGGATCCTGCTGTACAGTAAATCTGCAGTTTGCAAAACCGCTGTTCTCATTTTTAATTAATCAGAGTGTATCAGGAGAAATAGGAGATTTCTGTATGGCTGACTCTGGTCTATTCCTGTCACTGGGCCTGCTCTCCATATTCCCCAGTAGCTGTCGACAGAGAGCAGCTGAAACAATCCCTGTGGGCTTCATCCTTTTACTACTTCAGTATCAAAACCAAAATTGCTAAGAAAAAATAAGTGTGTTTTTGTTTTCCAAATGAATCCAAAAATGTCCTTATGAACTAATTAGCAGTCAGTGGTCCGAGTACTTTGCTCTAAATTGTTGCCCTATTTCTGGAAAGAAAACAAATAACATAAAAATGACTAGCTACAGATTGTTCCAAAAATCTGTAGCTGAAGAGCAGAATATTTCTAACAACAATTGATGGTCCTTCCTTGTTTCTATGTATTAAAGAAAAAATAGTATAGAATGATACAAAAAGGGGAAAGAATATCATTTAGTTTTTAGTAATACCTAAGGAAAGGCCACCTGGTGAGGCAGCTGACCTGGAAGAACTAGGTGATGACCTGGCAGGGCCTGAATGATCTGACACGGTGACTATTCCTGAGACATACGCTGGTATAATTAGTGATAAGCAGACATATACTAACATTCTACAGCATGTTTAGGATACTGGGGAAGCAGTGGCAAATGATACAGGAGTTTGTCCTGCAAACAGAAGGTTGATGGTTTAAACATCAGCTCTGTCCATCTCAGTTGTATCCTTTGACAGTTTCACTGCTCATTGGCGCCTGTATACTGCAGCCTCGCTTCTGGCAGCGAGCCCCAATGCAGCTGTGGTTACGGTGTAGTTCACTAAAATCAGGGCTGAAAAAATGTATTGGGATTAATTGATTATTGAAATAATAATCAACATATTTAGTAATTGATAAAAAAAATAATTTTCTTCTGTTAATATGTTCTATCCAGAAGTCCTTTAGTGGAATAGGTTTAGTTTCCTGAAGCGATTCGACACATTGCCAAACTGTATCGATACGGAGTTGATACTGTCTCACAGAGTACTGACACCTGGTGGACCTTTAAAGACACTACAGGCAGCTTATTTGACAGACTAAACTGAATTGATTTGATGACCTTGTACAGGCATCCAGGGCCGTGCAGAGACCACTAAAGGGGCAGGTGCTCAAAAAAAAAAAAAGGGCACATCTTATCGCATTTTAGGACGGAATATTAACAAAGTCACATAGCTTTCACAGTTTAATGAACAATGATAAATTACAAAATTGTGAGACATACAATCAAAGCTAAGGGAAATCTCTACAAAGAACATAGAACTATGCATATGTAAAATATTTTATTAGTAACTTCTTTCTGCAGGTCTATTTTGTTATAGGAAAGTATTACAATATTCAAACCTGCAATTTAGCCAAAGATGTACATCAGAGCTGGACCACCAGACATATTTTGTCTTTACAGAATTAAACTGTTAAAAATGCATACAAGGGCACAATGCAACCTTTTAGTGTACTGTAATCTATAAAAAGGAATGTCTGCCTGGTTTGCTGTACTGACAGTGGAGATGGAGACGGTCCATTCAGAAAAGCAGAGCTGCTGCATCAAACTTTAACCAGAACTGCAGAAAAAAAAGAACAAAACAAACATTTTATTATTGCATGTCACCATGAGAAAAGCCAACTCTGTTTGTGTCTTAGTGTATTTTGTAAGTACCTATATACATTTTCTTCAATCTTTCCTCTTCGTTTTTTCTTGTCAGTTTCTCTTTTCTTTTTTTCCTCATTGTCTCATCTTTTCTGTGTTGAGTGAAGGTCAATGTCTTATTTATTTCAGTCTCTTGCCTTTCTTTTTCCCCCAAACTAAATCCAAGATTATGATCCAAAAACTTATTTTCCGTCATGGTGATTTAACTGTTTAAAAACAAATTTCCAACTTTTAAGTATTTTTGCTATTTTTGTTCTCTTTTGTTCACAGCAGCAGTTTTCTGTTAGCCATGTCTTTAAAAATGTTAATAACCTCACTGTGAATGATTGGCACATCCTTCTCGATTGCCAACAAAAGAAGGTCTGACAACCGAACCTCCTTGCATAAGCTGCGCAGTTTTGTTTTCACCAGCTTCATACATTGTATCTATCATATATCTATCATGGTAGTTCTGGATGAGTTCTCCTTCAAGATACATTTACCTAACGCCAGAATAAATGAAATGTACATCATGCAGCAGAGGAAATAAGAAAATCAGACATATATCCATTATGGAGATGATAGGTTTTTGACGGGCGATATGCCCCTATTGCATAAGTAACACTGAAGAATGTCCTACTAACATTAACGACACAGGGAAGCTTTTTAGTTATCTTGCTTTGCTAGCAAAGTCATTAGCTAGCAGCTAGCTCATAGCACAAGAACAACAGCCTAATGTCTGTATGATAAAAATACTGAATCGATAGATAAGAACAGCTTTTCCTCACCTGGCTGTCTCCTCCCGCTCAGTAGTTCTTCAGAGAAAGGCGCGCCGCGTCCTATACTTTCCTCCGTTTAAACCGCTACTCTTTGCTAAAGTAGAGAAATTATACAACGTTCAAAGTTTTCCGTTGTCTGACAAGTAGCAAGCCTACTCCAGTATTTTCACCAAAAATTATGTTTTTTAATTCACAAAAAAAACTGTTCTGTAATCATTACAGAACAGTTTTTTGTGAATTAAAAAACATAATTTTCAATGTAAAAGACTAAAAGCACAGAGTAAACAGTGTTTTAGATCAAACAATACTGCATCATCCATGGGGCTCATTTGGTTTCACTTACATCTCTATTCAGGTTGACATTGGAGAGGCGGTGCAGACTGAAGACATAGCCATGCGTCCGATCATGGTTGATCTTACTTAGGGCCAAATGAGCAGTGGCCACAGTGTAATGTGGAATGTTCGCTACCTTTAGCTCCGCAGTTAGCCGCCTTATCTGACTGTGCGAGAGGCAAGTGCGTCGTCACCGGCAAAAGGTCAAAGGTAACAATGTGACCAGAGGGCTTATTGTATTGTTTTTCTTGCCAAAAAAAAAAGATAATAATAATAATTTCAGTACATGTGTCAAAAAAAAAAAAAAAAAAAAGGGGCCAAAAGGGCACATTGGGATCATGGAGCAAAAGGGGCAGGTGCTCAAGCCCCCTTAGCCCCCCCCTCTGCACGTGCCTGCAGGCATCCCCAAAATCGCTCCTCTGAAACCGCTGTCCTGCAGGTTTCAGAGGTTTCCCTGCTCCAGCACAGCTGGATTACATTGATAATGTTGATAAACAGGCTTTTGCTGAACTGTAATCATTAGAATC